ATTCCTAACCACAACCTTAACAGCACGCAGGGCCCATAGTCTGTCTGAACGGTAACCTAATTGCTATATTCACCTGTGTGCAAAACGTGGCTGCATGCATTATTTTTCAAGGAGAGAGCTGAGTATGTTCATAGGCTGAAAGGAAAGCTTCAGTAGAGAGAGAGTTTTCCATGGAAAGTGAGACAGGGGCATAGGTGGATGAGGCCCCAAGGAATGAGAGGAAAGAAGGTGGGCAGAGCTTTACCCCAGAGGCGAACAGAGGATGGACGTGGATCCAGATAAGACGTTAGCTCGTTCCCTAAAGGTCGTGCTGAAGGAGTAATGAGGGTGGCCAGTGCGCAGGGGTTTGAGAGGCCCCGTGGATATGGTGCTGTGGGGAAAGTATTTGGCGATGCTCAATAGTTCAGGAGAAGATATTAGGATGAATGGTTGCTGTGTGCCACGGTTCTATAGGCTTTCACTTCTGTTATCTTATGTGATCTTCCGGGGCGCCGGTGTCTCCGCCTTCTGGATGACCAATCAGAAGCTCACAGAGAATGAGTAATTGGCCCTAAACCACCCACCTAAGGCGTGGCAGAGGCGGGGCCCAAACGCGCGCTCCAGCCCTCGCGCAGGCGCCCTGGAACTCGCCCGCGTGTTGTGACCCAGAATTCCTGGGGCTGTGGAAGAGACCATAGGCTCAACAGGAGGGGGAGCCCTGGGTTGCGCGCCGGTCTGCATCGCTACTTGGCGGAAAGTTCCCATGAGTCTTTGCCAGCGTCCCCCTCCTTTTGTGAGGAATAGGATATCCCGACTCCTTAAGGGCCTGGAGCGCATAAGTTGTGACCTTTTCATTCCCGTTGTTATGGAGGTAGGGTCTCCGCGAATCTGGGAGTGGTAGCTGGGGGCAAGAGCAAATAAGAGCTCGAGCTTCTGTAGTCTCTGGGGAGATGTTCCCGGGAAGCCTGGCTAGAGGGCAGAGGGCAGCTGTTGAAATGGCGTGGCTCCCCGGCTCCTGCGCTCGCGTGGCCTTCGGCCCGGTGTTGGACAGCCTGGCAGGGCAGCGGGGGGCTGAATCCGGCTGCCGTGGATGAGGCTCATGGATCACCCTTTTGTGGTAGGGCCACATCTGCCAGAGCCTGGAGTCTGCGAAGGCCGGGACCCGGTTCTCCGGCCCGCCGTGGCGAGTGTGCAAACCCGAGAGAGCTGGGTAAGTTGGTGTCGGCTTGCAGTTTGGGGTACCCCGAGGGCGGTGTACGTCGGTAAGATTGTAACGGGATTACTGGAAGACTTACTCGACTGTCCTGATGATACTTGTAATAGGAAGTGCCGTCAGAAGCGATAACTGACGACGTTTAACGTCTATCTGACCGCAGTCGCTGAAACCTCTACAACTTAGTTGACCATAACTGCCAGAACCTGCCCTGAATTCCTGTCCTTCACTCCCTCTTTCAGATTGCCTGCCCACCGCAGAGTGCTGAAGACGGGGTAGCCATGAGGTAAGAGGCCCTCTGGGGTAGGGTTTAACATGGAACGTAGTTTTGTCATCTTGAATGCACGGAAATTGGCGTTTTGACAGTTTTCTACGTTTAGGTGTTTTATACACTTGAGGGTAATGTGTCAAATCATTGCATATGATGGAACTGAAATAGAAACTGGAGATGGCTGCCCACATTCCTAACCTAGAACTGCATTTAAAGCAAAGTGATAGGCAGAAGCAAACTCCTTCGTTAAGAAATGTCTCCAGTGGCAGCGTTAGATTTTTCAGGTAGGGTCTAGATCTCGAGCAGTACTGGAGAGTTGTGAGGTGCTTGACTGCTCTGATGAAATCACTAATAGGAAGTGCCGTCAGAAGCGATAACTGACGAAAACTACTCCTGTCTGATTGCAGTTAAGTCTTCACCACTTGCTGGTTCCCAGGAGTAAACTTGTCTGAACGGTAACCTAATTGCTATATTCACCTAGGTTGCAAATTGGTGAAGAATCAGCAGCATGTTTGGCAGCTGAGTATTGGAGCAAGGAGCCTGCCACAAGGTAAGCCTTGCTCTATGGGGAGGCTAGTGGCTGACCATGCCTAGCTGTCAGGTGGAATGTTGGCAATTGAATTTGGTTAACCTGATACCTTGTAACAGTGTAGCCTATCCCAGAGATACCGATTTTGCTTTCCGGTGGCATTGGAGCCAGGGTGGAATAGCTAGAAAGAGGGGCTACTCTATTTACCTCTTGGCTGTTTAGTCTTGGGCAAATTACCGAGAGAGCTGGGTAAGTTGGTGTCGGCTTGCAGTTTGGGGTACCCCGAGGGCGGTGTACGTCGGTAAGATTGTAACGGGATTACTGGAAGACTTACTCGACTGTCCTGATGATACTTGTAATAGGAAGTGCCGTCAGAAGCGATAACTGACGACGTTTAACGTCTATCTGACCGCAGTCGCTGAAACCTCTACAACTTAGTTGACCATAACTGCCAGAACCTGCCCTGAATTCCTGTCCTTCACTCCCTCTTTCAGATTGCCTGCCCACCGCAGAGTGCTGAAGACGGGGTAGCCATGAGGTAAGAGGCCCTCTGGGGTAGGGTTTAACATGGAACGTAGTTTTGTCATCTTGAATGCACGGAAATTGGCGTTTTGACAGTTTTCTACGTTTAGGTGTTTTATACACTTGAGGGTAATGTGTCAAATCATTGCATATGATGGAACTGAAATAGAAACTGGAGATGGCTGCCCACATTCCTAACCTAGAACTGCATTTAAAGCAAAGTGATAGGCAGAAGCAAACTCCTTCGTTAAGAAATGTCTCCAGTGGCAGCGTTAGATTTTTCAGGTAGGGTCTAGATCTCGAGCAGTACTGGAGAGTTGTGAGGTGCTTGACTGCTCTGATGAAATCACTAATAGGAAGTGCCGTCAGAAGCGATAACTGACGAAAACTACTCCTGTCTGATTGCAGTTAAGTCTTCACCACTTGCTGGTTCCCAGGAGTAAACTTGTCTGAACGGTAACCTAATTGCTATATTCACCTAGGTTGCAAATTGGTGAAGAATCAGCAGCATGTTTGGCAGCTGAGTATTGGAGCAAGGAGCCTGCCACAAGGTAAGCCTTGCTCTATGGGGAGGCTAGTGGCTGACCATGCCTAGCTGTCAGGTGGAATGTTGGCAATTGAATTTGGTTAACCTGATACCTTGTAACAGTGTAGCCTATCCCAGAGATACCGATTTTGCTTTCCGGTGGCATTGGAGCCAGGGTGGAATAGCTAGAAAGAGGGGCTACTCTATTTACCTCTTGGCTGTTTAGTCTTGGGCAAATTACCTGTCTGCTGAGATGTAGTTATCCTCAGATATGAAAAGGAAAAGTAAGCTCTGTGAAGTTTAAAGTGATGTGACTGAAATGTAGATTGCAACTCCCTGAGGCTGGCTGGGCACGGTGGCCTATAATCCCATCTATAATCCCATCACTTTGGGAGGCTGAGGTGGATGGATCACCTCAGGTCAGGAGTTCAAGACCAGCCTGGCTGGTCAACATGGTGAAACCCCGTCTCTACCAAAAATACAAAAATTAACCGGGTGTGGTGGCGTGTACTTGTAATCCCAGCTGCTTGGGGGGCTGAGCCAAGAGACTCGCTTGAACCCGGGAGGTGGAGGTTGTAGTGAGTTGAGATTGTGCTACTGCACTCCAGCCTGGGCAACAGCAAGACTCCATCCCAAAAAAAAAAAAAAAAATTACAACTCCCTGAGAAGCTAATTAAGATTTGTAGTCCTCAATAATTTACAAAAATTACCTCTAATAAGGTCTTAAGGGGCTTTTGTTAGGAGGGACTTAAATTTGTAAAGTCATTAATTGACGCTGTCATCAGAAATGCCTCTCCTCTGCAGTCTCTAAGATGTATGCACCTTCTCCATTCCCCCAGGTTTTGAGAACAGAGTGCCGTTTTAGAGCCGGCGGCAGCATCTTAGCCCAAAAGAAGGTAAGCCTTGAGCTGGCTAATGACCCCCTCAACCCAATAGTGGAATGAATAAACAGCTGATCTTCTTAAAACTCGCTTGAAAAAAAGATATCAAATGATGAAATCACCCAAAATAGCTGGAATTACCGGCAGATTGTGTAGTGGTGAACCTACGGTTTTCTGAAGATATCTCTTACCCTGCGATTGACTGTCAGTTGGTGCAGAAAGTGAGATTGAAATGTAGTTTCTTTGCAGGTTATATTCCCAGAGGATGTCAATCCCAAGGACCAGTAGCTGCCGTCAGTTTGGATTATGAAAACTTTAACCAGCATCAACATTGGGTGTAGAAACATGATTGCTTTGTGTATCAGAGGACATGCTCAGCAGGTCCAAGAGATATATTTGGCAACTTTTTCTAGAAAAGGCACATTGGGTATCATTCATTACATTCTTGAGTTTTTTTGGTTTTTTTTTTTTTTTTTTTTTTTGAGACAGTCTTGCTGTGTTGCCCAGGCTGGAATGTGGTGGCACAATCACAGCTCATTGCAGCCTCAATCACCCAGGCCTAAGCAATCCTCCCACCTTGTAGCTGGGACTATAGCTCACAGCACATCTGGCTAAAATTTTTTTTTTTGTTGAGGCGGATTTACTGTGTTACCCAGGCTGGTCTCAAGCTCCTGGGCTCAGATGGTCCTCCTGCCTCAGCTTCCAAAGGCATAGGCCACGTTGTAGCTTTGTCCCTTGCCATCCTGCCCAACAGGGGGTGCCGTACCTTTTAATGAACTGACTTTCATAAATTGGTTATGTTGGTGGGCAAGTTCTTTAAGTCGGAAATTGTAAATTCTTCCTGAAATGTTTTTTCATGCAGTTACCATGAACTAATACTACAATAAAGGATGGTCTTGGGTATCGATTCTTAAAAATGTGTATTTGAAGAAAAAGTAAATTTCGCCTACTATTGTCAGATATTAGCAGTCCAGATACTTGCTCTAGGTTGTAAACTTCCCTGTGGTCTGCCTAAGCTCTTAACCCCCTATTCTACAGCTTTAGACTGAAGGCAGAAATTCAAAGCATTTCGGCCCCTGCTGCTCTGTGCTCTGTTCCTTGGTGTGCCCTTCTTCCAGCTCCTGCAGCACTGCACCATTCCTAACCACAACCTTAACAGCACGCAGGGCCCATACTCTAGGCCCCATCTTGCTGTCTTCCTGTGTTGGAATCTTGCTTACCAAGGCCTGTCAGAGCGTACTCCCCATACTGTTTTCCCACAAGGTTCAAGAGTGATTGGCTCCCAATCTCCCAGCTACTTGGGGGCCTGAGCCAGGAGAATCGCTTGGCTCTTAGATCTAGGGGTTGCCTGTTATTTAGAAGAGATTGCTTAACTGGTAGGGCCCTTTCACTAGGAGAGCATTTGGGTAAGGGGAGGGTGTAAGATAAGAACCTTTGCTAAGTTAGGCTCCTTTGGGAGCCCCCAGTTTGTTTCTCCCTCTCCCCAGGCATCTTGCTGGATCTGCCAAGGGATTGGACTCTGTCGTGGTCCTAGGTTTTAAAGGTTTTAAAGCCCACCTTCTGCAGCAGGTTTTCTGGAATGTGTTAGTGGATTACTTAAGAGTTATGGGAGGCCGGGCGCGGTGGCTCAAGCCTGTAATCCCAGCACTTTGGGAGGCCGAGACGGGCGGATCAGCACTGCCACTGCAGCGCTGGGCGGGGCAGAGCCCAGACGTCCGTCTCAAGAAAAAAAGAAAAAAAAAGAGTTTACGGAAAAGATTCCTGGTGGCCTGTCTAGGTCAGTGAAGTCATACTGGACAAGGTGATGAGAAGA